AAGAGTGATCATCTTAGAACAGATTTCATTGAACACAAAAGCTTCGGTACATCAAACAAAACTTTTACATGTAGGGGATAGCTTTCACTCCTAACTTCTCTATTTCCCTTAAAAGCCAAACTAACTTCCACTCATGCTCAGGTGTGGAGTTCTCAATCTGCTTTAATTCTCTTGCGAAGCCAGCTATGTCCACCAGCTTATGAGCCACATTGCTTGCTTGAACAGTAGCTTCCTTCATAACAGTGTCTTTTTCATTCATCTTCTGTGTCAATTCCCAGAGTTGTAGGCAATGTTGCTCATTTTCCCTTGTAAGGGAATCTTTATGGTTACAGAGTTCTCGTACAAGATCTCCATAATCATCTAAACATTTCTTCAATGTCTTGTTCTTGTCGATAGTGGCTTTTAATTCAGTATCAATCTCATGCTGATGGATCTGATATGATGCTTCCCTATTGGTCATAGCACTATTCAACCTTTGATTGTTGACTTGATATTTTCTCGATTCCATGACAGTTGTATTGAGTCTTTCTTCTGCAACTAGTAAATCATGAGAAAACTTCTTGGCTCGTCCTTCATTTATATTGCAATTCTTTTTCAGTTTGGTGACCCCTGTTATCCACTCTTCTGGGGTGTTTCTTATACCAGCATTTTGAAAGGCTTGACTGACCTTCTGGAAATCTTCATGTATGGTTTCCATTTTGGTTCAAATTTATCGTTTTCAATCTTCAAATGAAGTATTTGAGCTTCAAACCTCAGCAAATCTTCTTCTCTCTGGGCGCCCCTACTGATACTCTTACCTTTGAAGACTTTTGGTATTAATCTAGCAGGACTTTCGGTTACCAAACTAGGTCGATCATTTACCATAAATTGTAAGGTTCCATGATTCAAAAGACTTTGGACTCGACGTTTGAAGGCAAGACAATTCTCAATAGTATGTCCTTGAGCTCCGGCATGATATTCACAATAAACGTTGATGTCATACCAATTCGGATATGGAGGTTGGAACGGTTTTATGTAGTACGGGGTCACTTCTCGTGCTTCAAGTAGCTTCTCATACAACTTTTTATATGATATGGGGATAGTATCAAAATGAGAACCACCTTTTGTCTTGGATTGAACCTGAGTTTTAGACGTCGAGAGCAGACCAAACTTCGATGATTTCTGATTACATGATTTATTCTCATCTCTGGGAGCTTTTACAGTGGTCACCATTTCTTTGGTATCTTCAAACGATTTATGAATACGAATGATGACTGTCTGTAATTTCTCAAGTTGGTTAAGATCCGAAGTCACTTGCGTATCTGACATTGTAGGGTTAAGTTCATTGAGCTCTCTCTCTTTCTGTGCAGGAATCTCTTCTCTTTTGGCCAAAACAGATATTCTATCCATCATATTGGACATCTGCTCTCTTATTTCTCGTATCTCCTTTTGCTCTTCAATGGGCATACGATCTTTGGGTGCATAGCTCTCCTCTATCTTCAGAGTTCCCTCAGGATGTCTTTTCTTGGCCGCATCATATTTTGTTTGATCATAAAACTTTTTGTCCATTTACGATTTCTTTCCAATATGATGAACAATCTTTCAAGTCAACACCTTTTGGTTATGCTATGATCATGCAATGCAAACGAAAGAAATCAATATGAATAGATTAGAGCAATATAACATGCATGAAAAAATAAGAAAAAATAGAATAGTTAGTACCAACTAATGGAAAAAAATCTATCTATCAAGGTATAAATCTTAACCTCATGCTTTCTAGTTCCATGCTTTGTTTGGAAAAATTAACCTAACCGCATGATTTCTAGTTCGCATGCAGTTATTCAGGAAATAGAAAAGGAATTAAAAGCTAGAGCTTATTTCTACTTTGTGTATACCTACTGACAAAATTTCGGCATGGTTTCAGATCGAGAGAGTTTCTAGGGTTTATTATATGCAGGTTTTCAGTTCTAGGTGTAAAGGTACTCGAACTGTCCTTGTTAATGCCCCCTTGGACTGTCAACCCTCAATCCTAGTCCATTACAGACTTAAGCGGATCGAGTTCAATTCGAGGGGACACATTTCTCTATACCTGACACGGAGAATAAATTCTCACGAAGACATAGAGCATATGAACCCCGAAAGTTACTTGCTAAGTCTGACATGGAGAATAAATTCTCACGAAGACGTCGCTTTCACTCCCACTTAAAAGGGACAAGCTTGATTAGAAAGCTTATGTTATGTAATGCAAGTGTTGTGTGTGAGGATAAATGTTCAAACCTCTGACAGATAAATAATGAAATAAAATACTTGAAAAATAAAATGAAACATTAATAAAATAATATAAATATTATGAAAATAATAAGTATATATAAAAATTTTGAAAAGAAAGAATTATAAATTAAATATATTTTTGAATTTTTTTAATTTCTAATAATAGAGACAATTTATATTTAATTTTAAAAGCTTGACCATAGTCCCCAGCGGAGTCGCCAAACTGTCGTAACCGGTTTTTGTCCGGGCACGAATTTTTTACTAGGCGGGAAAAGTGATGTGAATAAATGGTTTTTAAAATAATTTGGGAGTCGCCATCGGCCTTTTGGGTCAGGTAGGTCGAATATCTAAAAATCATCCTTTAAAAGAGTTTTTAAGAAAACATCGATTAAAAGATAAACTGATCTGCGTTTTAACCAAAAATTCGTTCTTTTTAATAATAAAAAGGGATTCGTGGTCGGTTACGTTTAGGGAAGGATTAACACCCCTACAACGCCCAAAATTGGTACTTTTTAATTATAAATTGTCTCTATTATTAAAAATTCAAAGATATATTTAATTTAATAATCATGTTATTTATAATTTAAAGAATATATATATATATATATATATATATATATATATATATATATATATAAATAACATATTTATTTATTTAAAAATATTAGAAAAGGGCTTCTAGTTGTTTTAAGACAACTATTTCCTTCAATATTTAAAAATAAATAAATAACTAAAACATAATAATAAAATAAAATTAAACATATCTAGTTCATAAATAGGATTTTTATTTCATAGAAAACAAATAAAATAAATAAATAAATATTATTTATTATATATATTTATATGACTAAGATAATAATAAAATAATAATTAAAGCAATAATTGAAAAATAAAAGTAATAATATTGTAAATAAATAATGATTAAAATAAAATAAATTAAAAATATAATGTTAAAATGTAGAATATTTAAACTTAGTACTCTACTTCAAAATATCATAAAATCCAGAGGCCTACAGTGTAATTTAGCCTTAATAATATATACGGGATTAAAATAAAATTTATTAAAATTACCAGGGACTAATTAGGTATTTACCGTAAATATGTATAATTACGGGTAAGGACTAAAATGTAAAGAAAATAAAATTTAAATACCGAATTGAAAGGCTCAATAATTGATTTTTTGACCAAAGTGTAAAGATATAAACATAGAAAGGTCACGGAAAGGGTTTTACCCTTGATGGTAATTATAGAGATACTCCCTCCCCAAAACGACGTCGTTCGGGGAGGGGTTTAAATACCCATTAATCGGCTGAGAATGGCTTTAAGCATTTCATTTTCTTCTTTCCTTTTTCTCTCTAAAAAGAGAGAAAAATTCTCTCTGCCTTCTCTGATGAAGGAAATCGGTCGGCCGCCTTGCTCCGGCGCCAGCACCACCGCCGGCCACCGTATCCGGTGGCCGAAAATTACAAAACCCCCCTTAAATCGAAGTCTCTATTTTTCTATACCCGAATCTAAAGTTTTTTTAACCTAAACTCTTACCAATCGTTGTAGATCTAGGATCTTTTTCTTAAACGTTTCGGTTTCTGGTGGCTCGTAGAGGCTCCTCGGTGGTAAGTTCCCTTCTCTCTTCTTTCTTTGATGTTGTGGGTTTATTTGTTGTGTGTCGTTTGGCTTCTGTTCTCTTAGTTGCTCTCGTGGTTCTCTGTTTTTTTTTCCGTTCTTTTCTGTTGTTCTTGATCTGTGTCTGCTCTCCTTTGCAGGTTCGGTGGTGGCTTTTATAGCCACCACAGTGTCTTCTTCGGATCGGATAATAGGGCAAAATTCGATGAGTCACCAAACTATAGTGGTGACTCACTCTAGACTTCAACGTGTGCGGCTGCTCTGAGTCTTCTGGAGTCTTCGTCGGAGGCGTGGCACTAGTGGAGCGTCGGCAGTGACGTTGGCATTCTGGCTTGGGAAGTGTCGGGAGCGTCGATTGGAGTTCTTGGAGCGGCGGCTGGAGCTGAGAAGTGTGAAACCCTAGTTGGGTTTAGGGTTATGTTGGGCTAGCTGATCGGGCCTGTACTGGATTGGGCCTCTGATGTAATTTGTAATATATATATATTTAATAATAAATAATAATAATAATAATATATTATATTAATAATAATTATAATTATTATTATAAAAAAAAATTAATGTCTACAACAACATTCTCAACGGCTTGAATATCAGAGCGATTTGAGCTTCCAATTGTCGACGCCTCACGTGAATATTCACCAAAACATTTTTATTCTGTTGATCTTGTGGATTTGATCTTCTGTACTAAACGAGCTTGTATGCTCCACGCAGCCATTATTAATTTTTATCAGTAAGGGTGCAAAGTTCACATTAATTCAAACCTGGTTTATAGTCCGTGCAGCGAAGGCAAAGGGCATGATTATACCAGGTCATCCGAGTGTTGTTCGAAACAAAAACTCCATCAAAGTGCTCCCAAGCAGCTTCAATTGCTAGTCCAAGAAAAACATCGACCCTTCTACAAGCCTACATGATCCAACAAAAGATTGGAGGAATTTTGACGCTCCAGGAAGGCCTGAATTACGTAAAGAAAACTGATCTTGTTGTGGCCAAATTTGGTTGAAATCACCCACATATCACTCGCTTCAGGGCTTTGAACTGTGTTTTTTAATTGTTCCCAGAAAATGTTCTTGGAGGGCTATAAATACAAGATAAATAAAAGGTTCACAAACAGTGATATCTAAAAAGTGAGATGAAAACTGGAAACGAAAAGATCCACAAACAGTTCATTGATCTTATTATTCTGGAACAGAGTATGGTGGGCACATCCATACAGAAAACCTTATGAACTTGCAATGCAAAGTCTCGATAGACATCCAGAAACAGAAATGGAAGCGCTAAAAATTACATGAAAAGATCCACACAGTTATTTGATTGATATCTCAGAAAAATCATAAAAATGTGATAAGCTTGGGAAGATGCAAGTCAATCAGACCATCTGTTGTCCTAGTGATGCTCCTTCACCTCAAAAAGGCCATCAGGACCTGAGTACGATGATAAATAAAACGATAAATAGATTGAATCAACCAATATATATATACACATAAAACGTGCAGTATAAACTTATTGCATCAACTTCCAATATTGGTAAAACTAAATTTCATACAAACAATGCTCACTCGGTCAAGGATGACCAAGCCTAGAACAGCAACTAACGAGATCGACAAGGGTAAAAAAACTCTCCAAAATAGCAACGCACTTGTTATATTACTTTATGAATAATAATTATGGTATTTTTTACAGTTTATATGCAATATGATTGTCCAACTCTCCAACCAGCATGTGACGGTAATTAAAATTTCTACAATCTTTAAAAAGAAAAAAAAAGCAATTTATATATTAGTTTTCATTAACACCACATAATCTTGATTATAAGATTCCTATGTTGGTTGACAAGATAAAATTAGAGACCTGCTAAACCAAATGAGGTAACCATAAAATGATTGAATGAAAGAGAGTTTTAGACCATGTCTTTATTTTTTTTTATAAGAATTGAAGGCCTCGTTAAAAACCCTCTTCTTGATTAATGGAGCTTGTAGGAAAGCTCCTTAATCAGTGGAAGGAGGAAAAGAGTGCCTTATGATTTCATTAAGCAAAAGATATTACATAAGATACATCAAGATAAACACTCTCATAAAACACCCAAATAAAAAAATACCCCTAAACAACCATATACACCCACACTGACTAAGCCTAAGCCACCTTCTGTAGACAAACCTCTAAACTGCTGACCTGATTACCAACCGAGCACAAAACCTGATAGACCATGTCTTTATTGAATCTAAGTCTTGGAAATTTATCAAGGAATTAGGCATGCAGGGACATGACGAATGAAAGTAAGATAGGCTGAAAAGGAATTTCAACTAGAATTTGGTATACAACAAAAGCTAGTGTTATAGTTTGTATAGTATAAACTAACATGAACTGGGGGGGGGGTAAATATTCAATATATGACACCATTTCCACAGCTCATATAACAACAAAATGAGTGAGCAAGTGAGAAAGCAATCAGAAAAAGAAAAGAAGCCATTTTTAAGGTGCAAAACATCACTATGAGCTGACAACTTTTAAGTCCCCATATAAATTACTTTATATAGTGCTTTGGATGCTTGAAAAAGCAATTGTTTTTTAACAAAATGAACAGGCCCTAACTTAACTATAGAATTGCTTAAATCCCTCAATTTTTAATCAATTGGCAGAAAAGGAAAAGAAACCCCAGCTAAGATATCAACTATAATATCCATGGAAAGACACAATAGGACCTGATTAGCAAAATTTAAATACAAAAAACATTATTCAAGTTGAACCAAAGAATAACAATAAGAACATACCCCATGGGAACTCCTTGTTGCGAATGTGCAAATATGGGTACGCCTGCAAAGATTTCACACATCATGAAGCGTCCAAGAATCATAATTAATAACAAAAATATTCTTAAAAATACATATAAATAAATTAAACCGACTAAAAATAAGCTTACAGGAGGTTCTTCATGGTGGGGATGGCCTTTTGATAGATTATAAATGCCTAAAACAGTGCATGTAGCGATACCCAAATATGTTATCTTCTCCCATTTTGCCGTTTCATCTGAAAAAGAACACGATAAATTCACATTACAAATAATTATATCTGAATTTTCTAAGTTGTTTGAATTTTTAACTTGATTTTTTAGGTTCAATATTTCAATATTAATCTGGATTGATTTCACTTATTCTATTTGTAACACAGGTTCGATTAAAATTAAAAGGGTTAGACTAAACAAGAAACCCTAAAATATAAAAAATGGAACAACTGAAATTCAAGATATCGATAGACTAATAAACACAATTGATACCAATGAGATAAAAAATGAATTCTGAAGAGCAAAAAGAGAGAAATAGATAAAGAAAAGCTGGCATACAAGCATCGTCGTGATGAGAAGAGGAAGAGAAGCCCCGCTTGGGAGGACCAATAGGGCGAGATCCGCCGCGAAGGGTTGCTCGGAGGAGACCAGATCTCACGCTCGCCATCGCCATCGCCATTTTTATCGATTTTCCTCTGTTAAAATGTGACTTGAAAACCCTTGTTTTCTGCTCTTAACTTATCGCGTCAGCGATTTTATCAGACCAAAGCAAACGGGTTTCGCACGTGCGAAGTGCGGGCCTCTCGCCCCAACTTCCTTTTAGGGTTTGTTGTGCGTAGAGATGAGAATGTGATCCGAACCAATCATGTCGGATTATTTTAAAAAAAATTGAGTGTGTCAGGTCGGATTTTTTAAAAGATTGTGTTTGGGTTAGGTCAGATTCAGGTTTATGGTGAAAATTATTTGACCCGAAAAAATATAATTTTACCTTATATATTTATAAATAATTATAATAATATACATCTTTATATTATTTTTTTCAATTAAATTATTGTTTTTATTGAATAAAAATAATATTTTTTTATTATTTCGAGTCCGGTCAGGTTGGGTTCGAATATTATTTCAATAAATCGGGTCGGATTCAAGTATATATTATGTGAGTCTGGTCAAATTTCGGGTGGAGGAGTCATTTTCTGGGGTAAGGTCGGGTGGATCAAAAATCTGACCCAACCCGGCTCATGCCCATCCCTAAATGTGCGTCACTTAACTAAGGTTAATTTACAGGGAGTTTTAATTGAAAATTATTATTTTATTTAATTAAAAAATATACAATTGATAATAATTTTAGTTATAAATAAAAATATTATATTACGATGAGTTTTAACCTAAAATATTACGTCTACTCTTAAAAAATTACACAATTGATAATAATTTCGATTGCAATAAAAATATCTTGAATATAACTTTTTAGATTGCAATCGAAATAATTATGCAATTTATATTGTTTGTTATAGATAACATAATATTTTCAATCTCAATCTAAAATCTTACTTAGATTACTCTAAAGAGTTACGCTATTGGTAAAATTTTCGATTACAAATATTTTTTAATTTTTTAATTTTATATTAATCGATTAGATTTTAGACTCTTCTAAATTTAAGATTTGTTTAGAATTACTTTTACTTAAATAATCTCAAACGCCACTTTAATCGATATGTCATCAACATATTAATTTTTATTTTAATCATTAAATTGATTATTTTAGTAGAAATTTTATTAATTTTTTTTATTTTAATCATTAACTTGATTGTTTTAATAGAAATTTTATTAATTTTTTTTTAAAATTTTGAACATTGGTATTTAAATATTTAACCACATCATTATGACAAATTTTTTATCTTTTATGTCGTTTTTTTAAAATTATTATTGAAAAGTTATTTTATTAATTTTATTCGAATCAATTAGATAATTTAAAAAATAATGATGTCGTTAAATATTTAAATACAAATAATAAATAGATAACATTTTTTTTATCTTTTATGTCGTTTTTTCTTTTTAATTTATTCGACAGCTCCGGACATACCAACAAACGAACTGTTCATGGACAATTATAAGCAGAGTAGGCGAACTCTTGGAAAGGGAGTGGCTGTGTCTATTTGCTACACCCCGAGAGAAGCCAACAAGACCGCTGACAAATTTAGCCAAACTAGCCAGGAGGGAATAGTGGAATTCCGTGTGTTCATAGATCCACCCGAGGAAATTCTTCCTTTCTTAAGTTTAGACTGTATTCCCCCCCCCCCCTCCTCTTATTCACCCAAAAAAAAACCCTTGAATGGAGTTCATGTGTATGGCATTAGAGTTTGAAATTTGTTATAATTTCACTAAAATTAAGAATATGATAAAATAATTTAATTAAAATGAGTTTCCACTTTTAAAATTGGTACCACTTTACTAGACCGTGTCCTAACCAACTCAGTTATTTCCTTTCTATATAATGGTTGGTCTCCTTTGGAGATATTACAACAGTTTTCAATAAAAGTAAAAAGAGAGTACTGACTCTCGTTCTGTCGTTCTTCATTTTCCTACACTGATTCAAATATTTTGATACACTTGTATAATATCTATGCCAAAATGCACTAAATGGTTAAAATCTTCTTTTGAACTTGTCTTAAATCCATCAAAATAATCATAAATCATCATATACCAGTCAATTACATTAATCCACACGAAAATATGATTCAAACATACAAATATTACATATGATTAAATATGGTCATTATACATACTTATCAAATAGATATCAACAACATTGTCATCTGATTTTATCATGAATTATATATGATCTCATGTCAAATTCACCTTACTAATCATGAATTGATACTTAATTACATTGTTACTACTTTTAACACCATAACATGCTTAAAAGGAAAGTTTCGTCGACAACTCTGTGTGTTTTCTTTGCAAGAAGTACAAAAGCTTATGAAGGCTAATCAGTTTTCGTTTATACAAGCAGCTATTGGGCCTGTTTGTTATATCCATTTGTAAGTGTGTTGGGTAGTTACTTATAATAGACTATAAAAAAGCTCAGTTGGGTCATGAATATTGGGTTTGTAGTTTGTTAAGCCCTTTGAGATTCGCTTCTCTGTTTTGACACGATGAAAGACGAACGAACCCTAGTGGTGGATTTTCCCTTTCGGTGCTCAATGGCTTTTGTTTAAATCTTCTACGTTCAACACGAGGAAGCTAACTCTTTGCGCTTTGTTACTAATTGGGCCATGAGCTTAAAGCTAAGAGTGTATGTATATTTAGCAGACAATTCTAAAACGGCAAAACTTTCGAGATAATGTTCTGGAAAAAATTAATTCACGAGATAAAGCACTCCCAAGATTAATTGCTCAAATAAGGTGAAATCCACAGTGTTGGCCGTAGGTCGCCATGCCTTCCAGGCGACCTACTAGGTCGCCATGTCTTCCCAGCGAGCTACAAGAGATTGCATGTGCCATGCACGTCCCAACATGCTGGGCATCCGAGGCCATCCGACCAAGGCCATCCGACCGAGGCCATCCGAACGAGCTATGCGAGGGCATCCGAGGGCAACCGAGCGAGCTATGCGAGGGAATCCGAGGGAAGCCGAGCGAGGGTAGGTCGCCCGGAGTGCATGGCGTCCTACAAGGTCGCCCGGAGGGCATGGCGACCTACAAGGTCGCCCGGAGGGCATGGCGACCTATGTGTTGGGACGTGCATGTGTCATGCAACACGTTCATTCTCTCTGTTTGAGCAAGGGTAGGTCGCCCGGAGTGCATGGCGACCTACAAGGTCCCCCGGAGTGCATGGCGACCTACGGCTAACGCTATGGATAGCAATTAATCTTGGGAGTGCATTAGCTCGTGAATTAATTTCTTTCAGAACATTATCTCGAAAGTTTTGCCATTCTAAAACTATTAATTACTTTGATAATATGAATAGATATATATTAATATGTGATGAACATAAAGCCAACATAGCGCCTTGGCTTTAGCGTTCCTCTATAATTTATTATGTTGCAGCACTTTTTGACTTGGTGCAATTGAGATCCACCATTTTAGAATTACTTGATGGACACAAAATATTGACAGACTATAACTTTGTTTTGGGGAAAGATATTATTTAGTAGTTCAAAGTTTCACATGCCAACAGTTTTTTTTCCTTCTGGGGTCGGTTTTTATCTCTATTTGGGCAGAAAACTAGGTTTTAAAAACTACCTACCTTGGTAATAAGTCATAAATAAAACTCCATGTCCATAGAAATATAGGCAACATCCAATGCTAAGAAAATTTGGACGTGTTGTTGGAAATTGTAATGAGAAAATTAACATTACGTATCCGATTTATCTATCGCATCCTTTAATATATAGAGAAAATAGAAGAGTTTCCTGCTTGTCAGACGACAGGAGATCATGCAAATTATAACAGCTACTCCTTATTTTTCCTCCATCTTTTATCTTAAAAATACTAGTGTATACAAGAGTTAAACCTCATGTTTTGATCTGAAAGAAATTAAATTGAAAAACTCTGCAATATGAAGATCAATACAACTGGGTTCTACTTCTAAGTGCAGAAATGATTTGCTACCTTCAAAAGACGTTGTCGTTTCCCATTTTCCTTTTCTTTTTCTTGGAAGGTTAATAAAGATTTAAATTAAAAAAGGATTGATATGGGAATAATAATGTTAAAAAGTAAACAAAAAATAAATAAAAACCCCGCAACTCTCACAATTGCATGCCTGGCTCCCTCTTGTCTGCCATTTTTTTCCTGTCAACACATATTGTTGTTGTGCTGACTGCTGAGATAGACAAAAAAATAAAGAAAGAAGAGAGTTTACATTTGCACTCTTCTAGCTAATACTTGTATTTCCTAGAAATGATCTTCGGGTTTCGAATGAAGGGCAACTAGGTCTCCTGGGTTCTTGATACAGAAAAATGGGTGGTCGAGAAAGACGATAAGTCTGTGTCCTCGTGAGCCATTTTCTTCTTCTCTCGTCTTCTGATTTTGATCATTTCACTCACTTATCAATAGTTATGGCGACAGAAATGGGGTTATAAAGGGGGGCATGATGCTTTGTGGAAGAAGGATTTTAAGCTTGCGGGGAAATATTTATTTTAAAAATTGATTGGGGCCAAAGCAATTGGTTTTTGGTTTGCGTTTTAATTGGCCCGTTTTTCAACTTATCCTTTGGTCTGTTTTTTCTTCTGGTAAGACATAAGAAACTCTTCCATTGTCTCATTCAATGTGATAATTATTTTATGGGGTCACACCATACTCACCCACCATGGCATGCAAACTTCATTACACCAACTTTGGTATGACTCCCAAATCTGAAAGTTTTCTATTTTGATACATACAATTATTATATATTTTTATTTTTTTATAGAAGCAGCTAGTTTTATTAAAAAAATATACATAATTATATGAATGTTTACAACTGTAATCTCATAAATTAAACATGTAATTAAGATATTTCTTATAATTATTGACACAAAATTAATCACGCAAAGAAAAGGTTGAAAATTAAAATGTCCCAATATTAAGACAGTCACCACTGGGATGATATTCAAGTGTGTTGCCTTATACGTCGATTATTCACCTGATCCAAAGGAAGCCGATCATCAATGCTAATTCTCCATGAGAATTGATATATCACAATCAGAGAACGACATCACCTTTTCTAGAAACC